CCTAATTTTATGTTCTATAAAATTATCTATCTATGATATTATTATGTGTATTATTTTTCATAGATGGTATTTTATATAGAACATGACTATACTGATAGCCTTTACTATGATTTGCTTATTGCAAAATTACTAAAATTTTTTAGGATGAATCCAGTCTACACTTTTGTCCTTGGGACCCCAACCTCCTCACCCCACGTACACGTGTACATACACAAACACACTCCCCTAATTAAATAAGGCTGGAACATGAACAGTGTCACCTACTCTAATGACAAACAGGTTCACGAGCAAGTGGGGGAAGTAAATAATCCAAACAGTTTGTTGAAGGAAACATCAAACTGGGCTGAGCTGGGATGAACTGGGCTGGGCACACAGTGATTCAGGCTTTACCACAGAATGAGTGTCTCCTGGGATGGTCTAGTTGGACAATTAAAACCCCTATAAATAGGATGAGTTTTCAGGTGTCCAGTATCCTCTCTCGTCTCTGAATCTTCTGCACCTTCCTCCTTTAGCAGGTAAGACATACATGGGGCAGGAGCTAGTATCTGAGAGGCTCTTGGTAGTCAGTTGTGAGGGCCAGACTGAGGAACACCTGTCTTTCTTTTCCTGAGCACTGAGAGTGCTTCTGAACTTAAGGGATATACACTATTTAGCTTCAGTGTGTCCTAGGCATCTCAAAACTGAGAGCTAAGACTGTTGGTGGATAATTTAGGCCCCCATAGAAGGGTTTTCACCTTGTCTGTAAGTTAGGCATTACCTAGGGATCAGCATAACCAAGACCACGATCCTGGTAACACTCAAGTCTCATTGTCAGGAATTGTCACAAGGGATTCATGCAATACACTATTTGCTATTTATTCCTTGTAAGCATCACTGCTTGCTTTTGGAAGTCTGATATGTTCTGCCACTAGGGCTCAAGTCTGGAGACCTATAAATCTAATAACTGGAAGCTTTACATTGCAAGAAGAAATGTCATTGAGATCTGGATCTCAAAAGGCCTCGGACTTCCAGCATGGCACATGTTGCCCTAGCTGATTGTATGTACTTCTTGTTGTTGTAGTTGTGTACCATAGAGTTGGAACTGACCCACAGCTGACCCTCTGGTGGGTTTTCAGAGGCAGTTAATCGCACAGGAGGAAATTGCCCATCTTTCATCTGTGGCGCTCACTAGTGACTTTTAGCATGTCTTTGGGGTTGTAACATAGATTCTTGCCACTAGACCACCCTAATAATGAATTGGCTATGTACACCCATTGTTATTTTTATTTGCAGCATATTTTTAATGTAATGGTTCTATTTTATAAGTGGTTTTTGCAAAATGCTCATCCAAGCCAAAAACATTTTTTGGGATGAATCTTTTCAGGAATCCACTGTGACCTATGTAAGGATGAGAGAGCTCTAGCTTTCTTTTCTGCTTGAGGAAGGCTTATTGGGAAACTGAGTCCTGTTCAACTACAGCAATTGGTTGGTTCCATCTCATAGCAACCATACATGACCGAGTAGAAGTGTTCTATGGTGTTTGCAAGCCTAGAAATCTTTAAAAAGCAGATTGCTGTATTTCTTTCTTGGAATGACTAGTAAGTTTGAACTGCTGATTTTTCACCTTGAAGCCTAGTATTTTAATTATCACACCAACAGGGAGGGAGAGAGAGAAAGAGAGACAGACATTTAATCTGGTGGCTTAGTGGTAAGGAGTTGTGCTGTCAACTCAAGGAGCACAGGGTTTGAATCCATCAGCTGCTTCATTGGAGAAAGATGGGCAGCCCCTCCCATGTGATGTACAGATTCTGAAAACCCACAGAGTCAACTATGAGTTGCTTTCAACCCAGTGGAACCACTAACCCAAACATTAGTGGTTAGGATGGTTAAGATCATTCAGCAGCATCACAGAAAAAAAGGCTTGGAAATTTGCTTTGATAAAGATTATTATCAAGAAAACCCATGGAGCAGTTTTACTCTGTAGCACATGGGGTCATCATGAATCAGAATCTACTTGATGGCAAAAGGTTTTGATATATATGGGTTCTCTCTCTCTCTCTCTCTCTCTCTCTCTCTCTCTCTCACACACACACACACACACACACACACACACACGGGGAGGGGGGAGAGAGAATTGCCTCTTTTCCAGCAATTTGTGCCCATCTCTCACTATAATATATTTAGAGCTTGACTATGGGGTCAAAAAGAGTGAGGGATATGATTAAGAATGTTGTCTGTAATTTTTAAGTTTCTTTCTCAGATCCAGAGGGAGCACTTTCCCTCTGAAAATGCTATGTTCTGATATGTATCTTAAGTGCAGACAAAATCTTGCTTCTTCCTTTAGGTCCACCTGAATTGGCCAAAATGACTCAACTGCTGAGCAGCATACTTTGCGTGATCAAGGTGTTCCAGAAATACGCCAATGAGAACGGGGACTGTGTCTCACTGTGCAAGAAGGAGCTGAAGCAGCTACTCTTGGTCGAGTTTGGAGACATCCTCCGGGTAAGAGGGGCTCAGGGGAGGCCCTGACCTCATAGAATTAAGCATGAGTGACTCAAGCCTGTGCCGTGATCTTCCTCCACTTTGCAAAAAAAAAAAATTTCAGGCAACTGTCTAGTAGTTCTCTCAATACACACATAGACACACACACACACAGACACACAGCCCTCTTTCTTGTATCCAACTATGAACAGGAGGTACTATAACTTCAGAGTAACTGGAGACCCTTCTCAGAAGGAAATCTAAGATTCCTGTCTTGATTTATGTATTTTAGAGCCATCTATAGATCTTCTCAAGTATTCATACATACATTCATTCATTCAGTAAGGAACAACTGAGCGTCCACTCTGCACCAGCATCATCCTAGACACAAGGTTAATAAACCAGTTTCTTTTCCAATGGAATTTTTGTGTAGTAAGAGAGAGAAATAGGCAAGCCAACAATCACAATATACCACATGATAGGATGAGCTACTTCCTCAAATAACTCTAAGTAATTATTAACAGAACTGATTTTAAAGGATATATCTATGCCCTATAGTCAGGCACCAATAAAGCCCTGAGAATCAATGGATCAAAGACTAGAAGCAAGCCTCAGTCCTTAGATTAAAGATTTTCAACAAAGGAAGGTCCAGTAACGAATGGACTAGGGCATAGACATTGGCACAGATCTTATTGTCCACAGGAAGATGTCTGATTTGAACTTTGTTTTATCTTTTCACAGAGACCAAATGATCCAGAAACTGTGGACACCATCCTAAGCCTCTTGGATCAAGACAGAGATGGACGTGTTGATTTTCATGAATATCTCTTACTAGTGTTCAAATTGGCCCAAGCCTGCTATCATAGGTTGGATCTCAAGTCACGTGGTGACAGAACATCCCAGCAAGAAGGACAAGAGGAATCACAAGACCATAAATTCCCAAGAAACAGAGATAGACAAAACAGGCATAAGCATGAAGAAGAGAGGCAAAATTCCCATGGTGGTCAGTCTGAAAGTCAGGACCATGACTCCTACTGGCATCAGCCTAGGAGACAAGACAAGGACTCCCACTGTGGTCAGTCTGAAAAACAAGATAGGGACTCCTCCTATCATGGTCAATCTGAGAGAAAAGACAGGGACTCCCACTGCAGTCATTCTGAGAAACGAGGCAGGGATTTCCATCATGGTCAGCCTGAGAGACAAGGTAGAGACTCCTGCTTTGATCACTCAGAGCAACAAGACAGGGACTCTCACGATGATCAGTCTGAGAGACCAGATACAGAGTCCAGTTTACAACAATCTGAGAGACGTCAGGACTCTAGTAACAGTCGAAAATTGAGTCATAAGTCTAGTGTAGGCCTGTCTGAAAGACAAGGCTATCTCTTTGCCTTAAATCAGTGTGAGAAACCAGTTCAGGATTCTTATCACAATCAGTCTGAGCGATTTGGCCAACAATCAAGCTACGGCCAGTCTAGAAGACTTGGACAGGATTCTTGCTCTAGCCAGACAGGCAGACAGGATTCAGGCTCTTATTATGGACAGTCCAGAAGGCTGGGTCAGGAATCAGGCTATGGTCAGAGAGGTAGACAAGAACTGGATTCTCACTATGGTCAGACAGATAGACAAGGCCAGAGTTCCTGCTATGGACAAGGCCTTAGTCATCCCTATGGTGAGACAGATAGACAAGACCAAAACTCTCAGTATGGCCAGACAGACAGACAAGGGCAAAGTTATCGCAATGGTCAGACAGACAGACAAGGCCAGAGTTCTCACTATGGACAGACAGACAGACATGGTCAGAGTGCCTGCTATGGACAGACAGACAGACAAGGCCAGAGTCTTCACTATGGACAGACAGACAGACAAGGCCAGAGTCTTCACTATGGACAGA